TGACCTTCATTTCAGAGTACTTCCCCCTCCCCGCCTCTCCCAGGATTAACAGTACCTGCAGGAGGAAGAACAGGAGGAACTGAATCTTGTTCATTTGCTGATTTGGATTTTCTTCTTATACTCTTAAAAAATCCTTTCCTTGAATTAACTTGTCTTTGGGGCAAAAAGGTCAACTCAACAGCAGTGTTGAGAGCTTGATGAACACCGTCATTTAACAGAGAACTGCATTCTGCATATGCAATACCAAGAGATGCTGCAAGATCCTGTCCTTCTCTCATTGTCACAACGCGCCTGTCATCAGATATGTTAATGCTAGTAGAAAGGGAAAAAATAACAGTCAAACCTCGTGTAAGCGACTACCAAAAATGTGAAGAGTTGGAAATTGTTATCGGAAGGTGGTCACTGCAAGAATTATTCTGAAACAAGGAAAGATATGTATAGTTCTACAAAACCACAAAGTTGCTGAGGGGTAGTTCCTTTTACAGTGGAACCTCAGTCACCTTTTGAGTGCATACATGTATGTGTCCCCTGAATGGAGGTTTAATCTGTGTTTTGGGACCCAGGAAAAGTGTCCCTTTCCCTGAATAGAGGCTACAACGCTACAACGCTACAACTGGAAGTCAGAAGTGCTGTGACCTTTTCAGTGATATTAGTGAAGCTAGCGACCCCTCCCCTCCCACCTTAAACAAAGCTGAATTTTGAGCAAATGGGTGGAATGACTGCTTTTTTGGACACAACATTGCCTGGGGAGGGGGAGGGGGAGTGGGGGGACGATGGGATGTACCCAAAGGAGATCAAAATATTGTCATTAGGAGCAGAGTCCTACGTAACAATTACTTGGAGGGGCTTTTTCACACAGTCCAAAGTTCTTTAATTTTTGTCCTCCTTTGTAGGTGCCCCTTCAACAGAGGCAGAAAATACAAAGATTACATGAACATTTTTCTGGGACCAGATTTTGGGGGTGTCCCCTGAATGGGAGTGTTCCAAAGGAGAGGTTCCACTGCAATGTAATAGGCTAATGGGGATGGCCATTGGATGAGGTAATATTTTTGTGCCTCAGGATTGACACAACAGCATCACATTTTCGATAGAGTTACTAGAATGGGGTCACCATTTTAGGGAATTTGGGGGGGTAAGAAAATACTGGAATTCCCTCTGAGCAGGTTGGGGCACCAACTTGTCCACCACCATACAAACTCAGGACAGGGGGTGACTCCCATATGAAAGGTGCAGGGATGCTTGTCGGAAATTTTGAATTAAACCCCTAAAGGAGACCAATCTGGGCATGGCCCAACCTTTTTTTTTGACCCCTAAAAGCGATCATTTTAAACTTTGATTACATGAATCAAGTAAATATAACGAATTGAAAATATATAATTTTTTAATACTTCTTCGAGTGAAACCCTAAAAGAGACCTTTACGGCCAAATATAATGGTGTTTTGCCCAGAACACCCTCAGCGAGACCAAAATCTGAATTTTACACACCTAAGCGAGACGACGAGCATCCCCGCCCCTTTCATGTGGGAGTCCCCCCCCCCCCCCCCCCCCCCCCCCCCC